GACTACTAAGTATTTAGGAGCCAGAGGGGTGAATTTCATATCTCATCAACTGATCAACACGCAATCGTGTTGATTGGACCGCGGACTGCGAACTGCGGACTTTCTTGTACACGAAGAATAAAGTCAACACGAGTAGAAAGTAATAATTACCCTCCACAGAGCTGTGTACCACGTGACATTCTCCAGCAACGAGCCATGCGCACTAATGGTGGAGAACAGCGTTTGTCCCGCGCTTTTTCTGACCGCAGGCCTGGGGTCGACACACAGCTCACCAAGTTTGGAATACAAACACATCCACTGTCTGTCTGAAGGGGGAACGGGTTTGTCGTACTTGGCATTGTCATTTGTGGTGGTTTCAGCACCTTGCAACTCTGTGCGAATTTTCTCTCGGTGTTGTGATAGAAAATCGGAGATATTCCACTACAAAAGGAGATTTAGAATCAATATTACAAAATTTTCTGAAATTGAACCAAACCTGGTGCTGTTACACCCGTTTAAATGGATGTATTAGGCAAGAAAATATCGAAGGTCTTTTGGAAACGTTAATAAAAATCTGAACAAGGAAACAAAAGTAGGGGAAAGGTAAACTGGAGACCTTACGAACACAAAGCTTGTTCAAGCAAGGGAAGCCTGTTAATTTCCTAATCTGTTTTGAGCTTTTCCAAAATGGTTATAAACCGATAAACACCGCAACTCATTGGCTTGTGTGGTTGTTTGTGACTCATGTGGGACAACTGAGTCCTGACACCCTGAAAGCACGCCAACGTTCGCACATGCGCAGACGTTTGACTGCTGTGTTCCAAAGAACAGGGATGCTTGTCCCTCACAGACCCCCCCTCCTCTCTTCCCCTCCCCTCTTCTAGCAATTCATCAAGTTTCATGGACAATTCCTCAGTAGTCATTTATAATTCTGGGTTAAGGAACTATATGGATGAAGTGTCTTTCTACAGTGACCAAGCCAGAGTTCGAGCCCAGACCCCGACGCTCAGCACGCTGACCGATGGGTCACCGCAATTTCACTCCTGGACAAAAGCATTGCTCAATGGTTTCAACCTACCAACAGACCAATGGCTGTCAAGCTAATGTTCAGCTCTTGGGGCTGCAGGCCAAATTTTCCTGCCACATCTACCACTACCTTGATGCACGTACAAGGCATTAAGGGAAGGAAATCGGTCACCACAAGCTGCAAGCTTTGAAATGCCACGCGAATGAGACCTTCCCTATAAGAACGCGGCAGAAAAATACACATATTAGTGCATCTAAGCAGACAGTAAATGCTTTGACACTGTTAGGGCTCCACAACAAAAAGTATTCCCATTTGGTCGCTTTTACATTTGAGAGATTAAGCACCACGTATTTTTT